CCCACGGCACTGATGACAACTCCAAAAGTCCCATCAAGTGAAGGGACATGCCCAAGGAACTGTGACACACCCTCCTCCAGCCAGCCGTCAAGCTCAAAAATGGAGAACTACGATGAGGAATTTGCCATGATGGTCAAGCAATTCCGGAAGTTCAAGAAGTTCTTCAAGAAGGCTGACTCAGTTAGAAGGCCGTCCAAGGGAAAGCCACAGGTAAGTGACTCTCCTCCTGAATCTTATTTGTGTTACAACTGCAGGAAGCCTGGCCACTGGAAGTCAGCATGCCCGTACCCAAAGGTCGAAAAGTACGGAGAAAGAGAAAGGAATGAGAAGAAAAAGAAGGCAATGGTTGCTGCTGAAAGTGATGAGTCATCCAGCTCAAGCTCGGATGAAGAAGCCCTCGTTTGCATGGAGCGCAGAGCTGAGAGGTCCAACCATGAGGACAGGTGGACTATGTCAGAAGATGACACTCTCTGCCTAATGGCCAAAGATGATGCTAATCAAGAGGTAACCTCACAAACCTCCTGTTCATCTTCTTATGAAAGCATACCAACTTCTGAAAATCTTTTTGACTAGTTCAAAAAGATGATGGAAGATTTTGAGGAAATAAATCTCAAACATTCATCCTTAACAGAAGAGAACAAGTTGTTACGTGAAGAGAATCTCAAGTTGACTGAAGGTCGGAAAAGTCAACTAAATGAGATCACTCAACTTAAAGCTGAAAATGAATCTCTCTCTGAAAAGGTGAAATCCCTTAATAAAGAGCTAGGGATACTTAAGTCCAAAGAAGCAGTGGACAAGCTTCTTGAAACGACCAAACATAAGGGCCGTGAAGGACTTGGGTTTGACCCCTCCAGTTCCAAAAGGAAAGGGAGAACAACTTTCATCCCTCCTAAACCTACTTTCAAACCAAATAAGCAGAAAGAAAAGGAAAAGGAGAAACCAACAGAAGTTCCCAAAAAGGTAGTCCCTCCTAAGAACTATAGGAAGCTGGACAGACCTCAAAAAGGAAACAATTTCAGAAGAAAACCTTCTAACCCCCACTATACACGAGGCTATACTCATTATGGGGTAGATAGGAGTTTTCCAAGAAATTCTGAGTGGAGAACTATGCCAAGATATAGTCACCCTCCACCCCAGAAATTATTTGTGCCACCTAAGTATGCTTATAACCGACACAGGCCACACTATGCACAACCTAGACAAAACTATAGGTCTTATCAACCTAAGTTTACTAGGAGGAAACAGGAAATAGCACCTCTTACACGTAGGAAGTTTTATGCCTATAACTATGATTACAATCCCAACAAGTTTAGAGCTGCAAGGAAAATTCCCTGCAACTTCAAACTTGATGTAGGGACACACACCATTAACTACTCTGGACCCAAACTTAATTGGGTACCAAAATCTTCCTCCTCCTAATGCAGGAAGCCGCTAAGTACCCAGGTGTCTGGTACTTAGACAGTGGCTGTTCAAGACACATGACGGGTGATGCGAGCCTTTTGAGCAATCTAATTCCCTATGATGGTCCAAGAGTTACTTTTGGAGGAAGCAATGATTTCGGGCTCACTAAAGGGCTAGGAAATCTGGTGTACAAGGGACTAACCATCCAAGCTGTATCTTATGTTGAAGGTCTCAACTATAACCTTCTTAGCATGAGTCAGTTTTGTGATAAAGGTCACTCCTTGGAATTCTGCAAGGACATGGCATCTCTCAAGAACATCTCCACAAATGAAGTCATTCTCACTGGGAAGAGAATCAGGAACATCTATGAAGTAATGTGGGACAATGTCAAGGAAGCATGTCTAATCAGCAAAGGTGACACTAACCTTCTATGGCTTTGGCATAAGAGGTTGAGTCATCTCAACTTCAAAACCCTCAACAAGCTGTCCAAAGAAGGGTTAGTAGAAGGTCTTCCCAATGTTGCATTCAGAAAGGAAAGTATTTGTGATGCTTGCCAAAAAGGAAAGCAAGTCAAGTCCACCTTCAAGGCAAAATCGGCACCCTCAACTACAAGGATATTAAGTCTTATTCACATGGACTTGTTTGGCCCTGTCACACCAATAAGTCTAAGTGGAAAGAAATATGTCCTGGTAGTAGTTGATGATTACTCAAGATACACGTGGACAATCTTCCTCAACGGCAAGAAGGAGACTCAAGGGAAACTCACCAACTGCATGAAGCTGATTCAAAACCAAGCAAGTCAGACCATTCAGAAGATCAAATCTGACAAAGGCACAGAATTCCTGAATGAAATCATCATTCACTATTGTGAAGAAAACGGAATTCTTCATCAGACATCCGTAGCAAGGACACCTCAATAGAATGGTGTAGCTGAAAGAAGAAACAGAACCCTGAAGGAAGCAGTAAGAACCATGCTAGCAGAAGCTTCCTTACCAAAGAGGTTCTGGGCTGAAGCTGTTAACACAGCCTGCTATACTCAAAATAGGAGTATGATTTATAAAAGGCACAACAAAACTCCCTATGAACTGTGGAACGGGAGAAAGCCTAATATATCATATTTCCATATTTTTGGGAGCAAGTGCTTTGTGTTAAACAACGGGAAGAATCATCTGAACACTTTTGATGAGAAATCAGATGAGGCCATCTTCCTAGGATATTCCATGGTGAGCAAGGCATTCAGAGTCTTCAACAAAAGAACCATGATCACTGAAGAGTCAATACATGT